CGTCGTCTACGTCATCGACTCCTGCAAGTAAGAGCTCCGCCCCCTGACCTCTTGACCCCTGACCTCGGCCCTGGTTCCCTCCTGATTAACCTGAGTGTCCTGACAGGCAGAAGGTGAAGCTCTTCACCTCCCATAACAACATGACCAACTACGCCACCGTCTGGGCCTCCAAGACCAACCTGGAGCAGAGGAAGGGTCGCGCCGGCCGAGTGCGACCCGGCTTCTGCTTCCACCTGTGCAGCCGCGCTCGCTTCGACAAGTAGGCCCGCCGACCCGGACGCCCGCGGAACCGCCGCGAGCCGCCAACGTCATCGTGCGTTTATGATCCCCGCAGGCTGGAGACGCACATGACCCCCGAGATCTTCAGGACGCCGCTGCACGAGGTGGCGCTCAGCATCAAGCTGCTGAGGCTCGGAGGCATCGGCAACTTCCTGTCCAAGGCCATCGAACCGCCGCCGCTGGACGCCGTCATCGAGGCGGAGTTCACACTCAGAGGTGGGAGGCCTGAATGTTCTAACAGCCTCCAGGGGGCGCTGTGCTTCATCTGCTGCTCTAACTTCTGCTGGACTTTAAGACTAAATATAGTATTAATGTCATAATCTGGTAAATTATGTTAGAGCTGGAAATAAAGTTTATTCTGAAACATTCTCAGGGTTTTAAAATAATGGCTTTGTGATCAATTTGCCTGAATCATCGTTGGCAAAAATGACTTAATATTTTAGGAAGGTGATTAAATAATTCATAATGGATATTCAGATTACAATGTAAAAGCAACATGAACCAATCAGAGAGAAAAATTATTTTTCTGACAAAAACAAAATATTTAAAATGATCAAATAAAATCTATTTATTGTTATAGATAAACTGAAAATGAAAGAAACACATTTTTATTCTTTTATGTTTAAATATAAACAGTTAATGTAGAAAACATAATCATCTCTACCGAAAATATCAGTTTTATGTCCCGGTAAGCAGCTTACTGGTTATACTGGCCTAACTGGTTACACCAGGCTAATTGGTCTCACTGATCTATCTGGCCCTGTCTGGTTCTGCTGGTCTAACTGGTCTAACTGGTTTCTCTCCAGACCTGGACGCCCTGGACTAACGATGAGCTGACTCCGTTGGGTCGGATTCTGGCCCGGCTGCCCATCGAGCCTCGGCTCGGCAAGATGATGATCATGGGCTGCATCTTCCAGTGGGTGTCCGCCGCTCCGCTCTTCTTCTGCAGCCTCTCCGGCTCTCTGACGGCTCTCTGTCGCCCCCCAGTGTCGGAGACGCCATGTGCACCATCTCGGCCGCTTCCTGTTTCCCGGAGCCGTTCGTGAACGACGGGAAGCGCCTCGGCTTCGTCCACAGGAACTTCTCCGGCAGCCGCTTCTCGGACCACGTGGCGCTGCTGTCGGTCTTCCAGGCCTGGGACGACGTCAGGTGAGCCAGCAGAACCGCCGCGCGGTTCTGTCGGGCCGGATATAACAACTAAAGCTGTGGCAATAAATCTGTTAATGGCTGTATGACGTAGAACGAGATCAGTCATTTCCATTTGCATGATTTAGTTTTTCTATTTTGTTGATTTTCCTTCCAAAGCCTGGATGACAAAGTTCTTCATTTTGATGTTTTGGTCTCAACTATCAGAAAGTAAATAAACACTAAAATAAAGTCATAAATCATCATTCAGTCTCCAGTCGAGAAACCAGAAACAAACATTACTAATTGTCCATATGAAATGGCCTAATCAAAACCCGGCTGTCGTCCTGGTTCTGCTCAGGGTTAACGGCGAAGAGGCTGAGAACCGTTTCTGTGAACACAAACGTCTCAACATGTCCACCCTGAGGATGACCTGGGAGGCCAAGGTGCAGCTGAAGGACATCCTGGTGAACTCCGGGTTTCCTGAAGGTACCTGAACGCCCGCGGCTCTCTGCCGATCCGCGGCTCGGAGACGACGGTCCGTTTCGTCCCGCAGGCTGCCTGATGACCCAGATGTTCAACACGGTGGGACCCGACAACAACCTGGACGTGGTGGTGTCTCTGCTGACCTACGGCTCCTACCCCAACGTCTGTTTCCACAAGGAGAAGAGGAAGATCCTGACCACCGAGGGCCGCAACGCGCTCATCCACAAGTCCTCCGTCAACTGCCCCTTCAGCAGCCACGACATCAAATACCCCTCACCCTTCTTCGTCTTCGGAGAGAAGGTGGGCCGCCGCCGCCGCAGTCGGACTCCTGTGGGTCCAGAGGCGCCCGGCTGAGGATCTGGTTCCGTTTCAGATCCGGACCCGGGCCATCTCGGCTAAGGGGATGACGCTGGTGAGTCCTCTGCAGCTGCTGCTGTTCGCCTGCAAGAAGATCAGCTCCAACGGGGAAATTGTGGAGCTGGACGACTGGTGAGACCGCGGCCGATCCGGGGCCGGTTCTGCTGCGGGGCCGGTTCTGCCGCGGGGCCGGTTCTGCCGCGGGGCCGGTTCTGCTGCGGGCCGGTTCTGCCGCGGGGCCGGTTCTGCCGCGGGGCCGGTTCTGCACCAGATTATCAGCAAATATTGTCATCATAGAGGAAAATAATCCAGCTTCCCTGATCCTTCCTCCAGGATCAAGCTGAAGATCCGCCATGATGTGGCCGGCGCCGTCGCCGCCCTGCGGGCCGGCCTGGAGGCTCTGGTGGTGGAGGTCACCAAGGACCCAGAGGTCATCAACCAGCTGGACCAGGGCAGCGAGAAGCTGCTCAACGCCATCAGACAGGTGTCCAAACCCTCCGCCGCCGGGATCAACCTGATGGCCGCCAACCAAAGGTACCAGAGGGGCTGTCGGTTCGATTCCCACACCCCGCTGAGGGCAAACTAAAGGCTCTCCTGTCTGTCTGCAGGATGGGGGACGGACCGCGACCTCCCAAGATGGCGCGCTTTGATGGAGGAGGAGGAGGATATGGAGGAGGAAGAGGATACGGAGGAGGAAGATACGGAGGAAGAGGAGGATACGGAGGAGGGGGGGGTATGGCGGGTACCGGGGGGCGGAGGCTACAGAGGGGGTGGGGGTTATGGAGGAGGAGGCGGCTATAGGGGCGGGGCTACAGGGGAGGATATGGAGGAGGAGGTTATAGAGGAGGGGAGGGCTATGGGGGGGGAGGAGGGGGGTACAGGGGCGGATATTAAACAGAGTGAGACCTCCTGTTGTACAGCAGATCTTTAATGTTGGACTGAGTGAATATTGTCTCCATGTTTGTTTTTATTGATGTTTCCAATAAATCTGATGTTTCCACCTGAAGCTGCTCCTCTTCATCACCTGCTCCTCCTCTTCATCACCTGCTCCTCCTCTTCATCACCTGCTCCTGAAACTGACGGCTGTGTAGTTCTGTAAAAGCACCAGTAGGGGGCAGAGTTTGACATCAGGTCTTCCTCCAGATTCTTCTCTTGCAGAAACTTTAAAAAAATCTGAGAATAATAAATGTGGAACTCTTGGTGAAGTTTAATGAATTTAAAGTTCATTAGGTTCAGTTTTGTAGTAAAATTGTTGAGACGTTTATTTAAATGATTTTTATTCCATTCAGTCCTTTAATGATCCTGGAGTTTTGACCTGCTGTGATCATCAGCAGGTCATTGATCAGTTGATGGTTGATCCTCTAATCTGGAAACGTCCTGGATGTCGATGAGTTTGTTGTTTTAATTAACTCTGGTATCCAGAGACATTTTGGTTCAAACCTAAAAACATCTGAATGTTGCTTCATTCTGCTTCCAGCAGGAGGAAAATGTTTGAAAGACATCATGAAATGTTCCTGTTAGTGAACAGTTACCTCCTCTCAGCTCCTGCTTCAGTATTTCCGAGGAATAAACTGATTTTCTTGGATCAGGTGTTCCGCAGGGCTCATTCTTTGGTCCCGCCTGGTTTTTATCCGGATCCGTTTTTACAGAATCACCGACATGCAGATGATGAGCTGATCTTCTAATCAGGCTTCATTATGATTTTAAGGTTTGTTTGGTTTCAGATGAACTAACCAAACACACAGATGTTACCAAAAGTTAAAGAAATCAAAAAAGGAAAATTTTATATCTAAAAGATTTTATGAATATTTGAGCCATACCCTCTGATGGACTGGCTGGAAAAGGGATGGATGGATGATGGATGGATGGATGATGGATAATGGATGTTGGATGGATGGAGGATGGATGGATGGATGTTTGTTGGATGGATGGATGATGGATGGATGTTGGATGTTTGTTGGATGGATGGATGATGGATGGATGTTTGTTGGATGGATGGATGACGGATGGATGTTGGATGTTTGTTGGATGGATGGATGTTGGATGGATGGATGGATGGATGGATGGATGGAGGATAGATGGATGTTTGTTGGATGGATGGATGGATGTAGGATGGATGGATGGATGGATGGATGGATGTTGGATGGAGGATGGATGGATGGATGGATGGATGATGGATGGATGTTGGATGTTTGTTGGATGGATGGATGACGGATGGATGGATGGATGTTGGATGGATGATGGATGGATGGATGGATGGATGGATGGATGGATGGATGATGGATGGATGGATGGATGGATGGATGGATGGATGATGGATGGATGGATGGATGGATGGATGGATGGATAGATGGATGGATGGATGATGGATGGATGGATGGATGATGGATGGATGGATGGATGGATGGATGATCCACATCCTGACTTGTGTAACCAGTAACAGAATCCTGTGCAGTGCTGTGTTTGTCCACTAGGGGTCTCTGTCCTCCAGGTCTTCATGTGAGGTCAGTTTATTCCAGCGACCAGCAGGAACCAAATCTGCTCCAGGATCAGTTTTATGTTTATCAAACACAAGTTTATCTCCTTCCTCCTCTGCTTTTCCTAAATCTGGGAGTTTTTACGAGCAGCAACTTCAACTCTGACCTAAATATTAAACACGTGATTCGGCGCAGACCGGACTTTGAAAAGTGAGGTGCGGAATGTTTAAGTTTGCGCAGTGATTGCGGGTGCGCAGCGGCTCTGCGGTGATTCGGTGACTCCGGAGGAAGAGGCGGACTCTTCTCCGCAGCCTGTGCGCCTCGGAGCTGCGCAGTCGCGGACTGGGTGTAGTCTGGACTCCCGTCTTTTCCTGCTGGAGTTGAGGTGCATGGCGGCGGACACAAAGAGCTGAGAGCGACCTCGGACCTCCTGAGAGACCTCCAGAGAGACCTCCAGAACGTCGGGAAGCCGGAGCCGCCAGTCGCTCCTTGTTCTCCAGGATCCTCCAGTCCAGGATCGCTCCTGCGGGAAACTGTCGGGAAAAGTTTTGGGAAGTTTCGGGAGCGCTCCGATGGGAGTTTTGCGGCCGATCGGGAAGACGGAGCGGGCGGCCAGGATGCAGAACCTGATCCGGGCTCTGGTGGCGTGGAGCTGGGTGGCCGCGGTGTGCGTCCGCGGCGCCATGGATGAATGCGCGGACGAGCAGGGCCGAGCGCAGCGCTGCATGCCGGAGTTCGTGAACGCGGCCTTCAACGTGACGGTGGAGGCCACCAACACCTGCGGCTCCCCGCCGGAGGAGTACTGCGTCCAGACCGGCGCCACCGGGGTCACCAAGTCCTGCCACATCTGCGACGCGCGGGACCCGCGGAACCACCACAACGCCGCGTACCTGACCGACTACAACAACCAGCAGGACGCCACCTGGTGGCAGAGCCAGACCATGCTGGCGGGGATCCAGTACCCTAACTCCATCAACCTCACCCTGCACCTCGGTAAGAGCCCGAAACACACACTGCAACTAAACACACACTGCAACTAAACACACACTGCAACTAAACACACACTGCAACTAAACACACACTGCAACTAAACACACACTGTAACTAAACACACACTGCAACTAAACACACACTGCAACTAAACACACACTGCAACTAAACACACACTGCAACTAAACACACACTGCAACTAAACACACACTGTAACTAAACACACACTGCAACTAAACACACACTGCAACTAAACACACACTGCGCTCAAACACACACTGTAACTAAACACACACTGCACTCAAACACACACTGTAACTAAACACACTGCAACTAAACACACACTGCAACTAAACACACACTGTAACTAAACACACACTGTAACTAAACACACACTGCAACTAAACACACACTGTAACTAAACACACACTGTAACTAAACACACACTGCAACTAAACACACACTGTAACTAAACACACACTGCAACTAACACACACTGTAACTAAACACACACTGTAACTAAACACACACTGTAACTAAACACACACTGTAACTAAACACACACTGTAACTAAACACACTGCAACTAAACACACACTGTAACTAAACACACACTGCAACTAAACACACACTGTAACTAAACACACACTGTAACTAAACACACACTGTAACTAAACACACACTGCAACTAAACACACACTGCAACTAAACACACACTGCAACTAAACACACACTGCAACTAAACACACACTGCAACTAAACACACACTGCAACTAAACACACACTGCAACTAAACACACACTGCAACTAAACACACACTGCAACTAAACACACACTGTAACTAAACACACACTGCAACTAAACACACACTGCAACTAAACACACACTGCAACTAACACACACTGCAACTAAACACACACTGCAACTAAACACACACTGCAACTAAACACACACTGTAACTAAACACACACTGCAACTAAACACACACTGCAACTAAACACACACTGCGCTCAAACACACACTGTAACTAAACACACACTGCACTCAAACACACACTGTAACTAAACACACACTGCAACTAAACACACACTGTAACTAAACACACACTGCAACTAAACACACACTGTAACTAAACACACACTGCGCTCAAACACACACTGTAACTAAACACACACTGTAACTAAACACACACTGCAACTAAACACACACTGCAACTAAACACACACTGCAACTAAACACACACTGCAACTAAACACACACTGCAACTAAACACACACTGTAACTAAACACACACTGCAACTAAACACACACTGCAACTAAACACACACTGCAACTAAACACACACTGCAACTAAACACACACTGCAACTAAACACACACTGCAACTAAACACACACTGTAACTAAACACACACTGCAACTAAACACACACTGCAACTAAACACACACTGCAACTAAACACACACTGTAACTAAACACACACTGTAACTAAACACACACTGTAACTAAACACACACTGTAACTAAACACACACTGCGCTCAAACACACACTGTAACTAAACACACACTGTAACTAAACACACACTGTAACTAAACACACACTGTAACTAAACACACACTGTAACTAAACACACACTGCAACTAAACACACACTGTAACTAAACACACACTGTAACTAAACACACACTGTAACTAAACACACACTGTAACTAAACACACACTGCGCTCAAACACACACTGTAACTAAACACACACTGTAACTAAACACACACTGCGCTCAAACACACACTGTAACTAAACACACACTGTAACTAAACACACACTGTAACTAAACACACACTGTAACTAAACACACTGTAACTAAACACACACTGCAACTAAACACACACTGTAACTAAACACACACTGTAACTAAACACACAGTGCAACTAAACACACACTGCAACTAAACACACACTGCAACTAAACACACACTGTAACTAAACACACACTGTAACTAAACACACACTGTAACTAAACACACACTGCAACTAAACACACACTGTAACTAAACACACACTGTAACTAAACACACACTGTAACTAAACACACACTGCAACTAAACACACACTGCAACTAAACACACACTGTAACTAAACACACACTGTAACTAAACACACACTGCAACTAAACACACACTGCAACTAAACACACACTGTAACTAAACACACACTGCAACTAAACACACACTGCGCTCAAACACACACTGCAACTAAACACACACTGCATTCAAACACACACTGTAACTAAACACACACTGTAACTAAACACACACTGTAACTAAACACACACTGCGCTCAAACACACACTGCAACTAAACACACACTGCAACTAAACACACACTGTAACTAAACACACACTGCACTCAAACACACACTGCAACTAAACACACACTGCACTCAAACACACACTGCAACTAAACACACTGCACTCAAACACACACTGCAACTAAACACACACTGCAACTAAACACACACTGCAACTAAACACACACTGCACTCAAACACACACTGCAACTAAACACACTCTGCATTCAAACACACACTGTAACTAAACACACACTGTAACTAAACACACACTGCGCTCAAACACACACTGCAACTAAACACACACTGCACTCAAACACACACTGCAACTAAACACACACTGCAACTAAACACACACTGCGCTCAAACACACACTGCAACTAAACACACACTGTAACTAAACACACACTGTAACTAAACACACACTGTAACTAAACACACACTGTAACTAAACACACACTGCGCTCAAACACACTGCAACTAAACACACACTGCAACTAAACACACACTGCAACTAAACACACACTGTAACTAAACACACACTGCACTCAAACACACACTGCAACTAAACACACACTGCGCTCAAACACACACTGCAACTAAACACACACTGTAACTAAACACACACTGTAACTAAACACACACTGTAACTAAACACACACTGTAACTAAACACACACTGCGCTCAAACACACACTGCAACTAAACACACACTGCAACTAAACACACACTGCAACTAAACACACTGTAACTAAACACACACTGCACTCAAACACACACTGCAACTAAACACACACTGCACTCAAACACACACTGCAACTAAACACACACTGCAACTAAACACACACTGCAACTAAACACACACTGCACTCAAACACACACTGCAACTAAACACACACTGCACTCAAACACACACTGCAACTAAACACACACTGTAACTAAACACACACTGTAACTAAACACACACTGCAACTAAACACACACTGCAACTAAACACACACTGTAACTAAACACACACTGTAACTAAACACACACTGCAACTAAACACACACTGCAACTAAACACACACTGCAACTAAACACACACTGTAACTAAACACACACTGTAACTAAACACACACTGCAACTAAACACACACTGCAACTAAACACACACTGCAACTAAACACACACTGCAACTAAACACACACTGCTCCACGGTGGAGATCTTTGTCACTGAAAATCTGACAATTAATTTTCACTGAGGTGCAGCTGGTGTCTGGAAGGACTTTTGGGGCAGATTAGGGTCTTTTGGGGCAGATTAGGGAGTTTTGGGGCAGATTTCTGGGTGGCGGTCAGGAACGTTGCTGTACATCAGGAACTTTACTGCGGATCTTTCTGACCTCAAATTATTTAAATCTGCAGGCAGTGATGGATCTCTGGGCCTTTGTGTTCAGGAGTTTCTTCATTGGGGGTCTGGATGGTTCTGACCCGGTGGTCGGTTGATGAGTAACTTTATCTGGTGGTTCTGGTTCTTTTCACACAGAGAAAACTTTAACTGAACCAGAAACTGTCACTAGAATCCAGAGCAGGATGTTCTGTCCATTCATGGGTCAGATGGATGTGGACGTTGGTGGCTGTCTTCATCACTGTCTTCATCACTGTCTTCATCTCTGTCTTCATCACTGTCTTCATCACTGTCTTCATCTCTGTCTTCATCTCTGTCTTCATCACTGTCTTTGTTTCTGTCTAGTCTCTGTTGGATGTTTTGGAGCTGAATCTGTTTGGATCTGAAACTAAGAAAACATTTGTTTCTCTACTTTGTTTCTTCTGTGGATCTTGACCTTCTGACCTTGCCTGACCTTGTCTCTCAGTCGTGACTCTGAAACAGATTTATTGAGTTCTGATTCGGTTGGTCAAGAACGATGTTCTTCCTGAATCCGTTTATTCTCAGAACCTCCAGCTGTTTCCGACCAGAACCAGGAGGAACCTGGTTCTTATGTTATTTTTCATCAAACGCCATAAGCCAGAATTTGGCAGTTTATTGGTTCTTCTGGTTGAGACCAACCTGATCGGGTCGGGTCCTGATGTGGGACGCCTGTCCTCTGTAATCTCAGGAAACCCTCCGTGAGCTCAGGGCTCCCTGTAACTTGGTGTGTTTGGACTCTTTGAAGTGCGGCAGGAAGGCGACGTGTTCTGACTCGACTGTGCACCGGAGACGGGCCCCGGGGCCACATGAAAGCGCCACAAAGAAGAAAACCTGCAGGTGGAGGAGGAATGGAGGCCTGGAGCCTGCAGCTGAAAACCTGCAGTGGTTTTAACCGGGACTGATCTGGTTTGAGACACGATGGACATGAAAACACTCGGCCACTGAATCTGGATTTAAACCAAAGTTTAAATAACAGGAGCATTTATTTAATGCTCCTGTTGTAACCCTAACCCTAATGAAAGGCTGAATTAAATCAGAATCGCTCTAAAAACCTAAACTCGGACTGATCGGATCAGACCGGGTCGGGTCAGAACCGAGCCGCTCTGGAGACACAAACTGTCCAGATTCCTCACTGATGAAGAGCTGAACGGGTCAGAACCGTACCGGACCTCTGCACCGGACCAGCAAACAGACCCGGTTTAGAAACTCAGTCAGTCCACATCAGTTTCTATTCAACTATTGATTCGTATTGATTT